CGAAATATAACGGACTACGATTCCGCCTTCTGAGCCCATGACTGGCATTACGAATTAATTCTGTGAGTTCTTTTGCCAGATCTACTGCCAGCCCTATGTGCAACAAGCTTAAGATACGAAATTTCAGACTTTACTCTTTACACGATAAATCATTGATTGCTCATAGAACAATTATGGTTTCGTCACGTTTTATGCAAAACTTATAACTTATTATAAATTCAGTTTCGTATAGAACTGAGACCGTTTCGTATAGCTATTGCGTACAATTATTGTGAGGAGTGATGCGAAAATGTTGCTTATCGTTAAAAACAAATGCAAACTGGGGGAAAATTGAAAACTTCTGGAAGATATGAAAAAAGTTGGTTGGAAGAAAGTTTGAAAAAAGCGAAGCAAAAACTCGATGCACTACAATGTAAACGGATCAGTCTTCATTTTTGGTTCGTAAGAGTTACCTCTTCAATAAGCGATGACTTCAACGTATGGCAGTCTTTAATTATAAATCCAGGAAACGGCTGAGCACTTTTCAATTTGTGCTAATAATTCATTTAACGTATTTCATTTCATTTCATTTCATTTCATTTCCCTTCTGTTGATTTCATTTAATGTTATTTTAAAATTAATCATACTGTTGGCATCATACGTTTTGCAACAATGAGCGCAAGTTAGAAATGCTCCTCCTCCTGCATTAATTGCACATGGTCTATGGTTCGAATTCTTTATCCTAATCCCATACCGAACGCGATAAAAGCATCATTGACATAGCTAGGGATCGCATTACATACACATAGTTTCTCAGATGACTGTGAAGCGAACTCGAATCGGCTTGACGTCCTTGCTCAGAGAAAATTAAAACAATCGAGAAAGAAACAATTTATATTTACCTTGGAGAGCATTCTGTCGAAGAGCTTGTATGAATCTGCAAGTTACTGATAAAAAAAAAAAAAAAATATTGTTTTTCCGAGCTATCTCTGAAGTTGAAAATTTCAACCTTGATTTTCGCAAAGTCAAATCCACCATAGGGGATATAAAAATTAATAAAAAAAAAATAAAAAAAGCCCACATTCCCACCAAGCGAATCTGTGATATTCAATGTAGGAGTTTTGCGTTAAGTGTGGATTTCTTCTGCAGACGTGTCAGTTAGACGCAACCATGGAGTTTGTCTTAGAAATCAATCATCTTGATACCGAATCTTAAATCAATATCTGCAATAGCGTATAAGTTAATATTAGCAGGCAAACCATGCCCATCTGTATATGCTATTATGTGCTAAACCATTAATTAACATTTAATCCACATTCTCCTAAGTGTGAGATTTTAAAAGGATAGAGAGATAAAAGAACTTTAATTAATTCTACTTTGACAGCTTATTTGCGCAATCTCTGGCCGGTATTTTTATGTGCCACAAACAAAGGCATTCATCTAGTGTGACGAATAAAGAGACCGAACTAGAGAGCGAGGTAATGAAAGATACGCGGCTTCTAGGATGATTTCATTGAAGCGATAGAAACTGTCGTGAGTTCTATTTGGCTTCTTTTACCTAAGATAACTTCACTTGAGATCAACCGCATTGACATAATTTCGAGGTAATATAAATG